TAAAAATATATATGCTAAAACAAAACCATAAAATTAAACATTTACCTTTAGTTTGTATTTTCCTTTCAGGTTTCTCCTGCTTTTCAGTCTTTTCTTTGTGTATTTCTAAGGAAAAATAGAATTTATAATTTAAAAACTCTTTTAAAAAGTATGAAATTAAAACCACAGCTATGACCTAAACTTTATAATTCTACCACAAAGCATAAATTATTATACAGTATCTAACAAGTTTATTGGCATCTAAAAGGAAAGTCTCTATGACATAGTGCTACACAAATCACTTATTTATTGAAATAAGGGGAAAATGTAGTTATCTCAAAATTAGAGTTATTTGAAAAACTTAAAAATTTAATCGACAGAGATATGTTGTTACCATTTTCAGTGCTTGCTAAAATCGATCACAAACTATAATTATGTTTTATTTCAATTACTCTCAATACAAATTAAGAATCCTTAATAAGAATGTCATTTAGATTTAGAAAGATTTAGTTTTTACCACGTTAAATTAAGAATTTGTGAAATGAACTGTAACAACAATCTAATAGGAAATATATCTCAGAAGTATTGACTCTAAGCTGTGTTTACAATCAGCATTTGGCATTACATTTAACCAATAATTACTGCAAGCAGATATGTATGACACATTTCATAGAATAAGTTAGCTGTACACTTTTTCTAAATATCAGATTTTAGCAAATATATTCAATTTGCTGCTAGCTTCACTATACATATGTTGCCAAGGTTGAGAAAATGAAGTTAATTCTGAATTTGTAGTTAATTTGAATAGAAGTAAATAGAAGTTTACAAATATGATTACTACCTTTGAAAAATGACTTAATCTTAAATATCATGCTTTTTCTTAGAAACATGCTAATGAAGTTTACTTATTTATTTATCACAACTTTATTCCACAGATGGTCTGAGATGGTGCTCATTACTGTATATAATTTAAATTCTCCATTTGTAAATTCACATTTGCATTTTTGTAATTTTTCCAGAAGTCTATGAAATTAAGACTAAGCATAGAAACACCGTAAATGCCTTCAGAAAAGACAGCTACTGACTTTCATTCACCTGTTAAGGAGGTACCCACCACTGTGAAGATTTACTTCCTTCATTTTTCCCATTAATCAGTCATCTTAGTATTTATAGGATCATTTTTCTACCCTTATCTCATCCCTGACTTTGAATATGGTAATGAAGATACTAATGAGGTAAGGTATTCATTCATATCTCTGGAAAAAAATCCTCCAAAATAAGGCAAGATCTCCGAAAAGCATAGGAAATTTCCATCTTCCTGCCTTTCTCGCCACTTTGTTTATTTCTTCTCTAATGTCTGGAAATTCTGCTTTACAGCAGTGTTTCTTATGTTAGCACTGTGACTTTTTGGATCCGGTAAAGCAGTATTTGGGGGTGCCATGAGGCTAACTTGTGCATTTGAGGATATTTAGCACCATTCCTGGCCTCTACCTATTATATTCCAGTAGCTCCCATACCTACCTCCCAATCATGACAATGAAAGTATCTTTGGACATTGTCAAATGCCCCCTGCAGAATACAATGAACCCCAGTTGAGAACCACTTCTCTAAAGTTACATGATACTTCAGCCTAATCACTCCTACACTGTCCAATGCAGGAGCCACTAGACAGGTATGCATATTAAGCGCATGATAAGTGGTTAATCTGAACTAAGACATGCTATAAGTGTAAAGTACACACTAGAATATGAAGCCTTAGTATGAAAAAGAAATAAAATATCTCATTAATAATTTTTATACTAATTACATTTTGAAATGGCATCATTTTTGACATACAGAGTATGATGGTTTTATTGATGGGTCAATTTGGCTAGGCTACTATTTCAAGTTATTCAAATGAACACTAATCTTGGAGTTCCTTGAAGATATTTTGCAAATGTAATTAAAATCCCTAATCAATTGACTTTAAGTAAGAAGATGATTCTGGATAATCTGGGTGGGCTTCTGTGATTTCACTGGAAAGCCTTAAAAACAGGCCCAAGATTTCCTAAGGCAAAGGATGAAATTCTGCCTGTGGACGACAGCTTCGGGCTCAAGTTTGCCTGCGATCTTCCCTGCCTGATTACCTTTCTTATGGGTTCAAACTTCCTTAGCCAGTCTCTACAATCACGTAAGCCAATTCCTTGTAATAAATGCCTTAATATATGAATGTATTTGCTACTGATTTTGCTTCTTTGAGTCCTGAATAATATATTGGGTAAAATAAGACATGCTATTAAAATAATTTCATGTTTTTACTTTTTTAATGTGGCTACAAGAAAATTTTTGGTTACATATGTGGCTTACATTATATTTCTACCAGACAATGCTGGTCTAATCCTAGGAGTAGCAAATGACGTTTTTAAAACCTTAGGTCATGCACAAGTTTAAATCTTTTTCAAATGAACTGAAAAAACAAACTTGATATTCTCCCCTGCCAATACCCTTCTGCTTCCTCCCTCCTCTCAAAACCAGCAGGAGCTATGGAGAAGATTGGTGCTTTACATAACTCAGGTCCATAAAGCAAGTACAATGTTAAAGAATTAAGGTGGTCTTTGGATAGGCTAAAGGAGTTATCTTTAAGAGATAATTTCTTACTACTAGTAGATATTAATTTGAATACAGAGAAGGAATGAAATTTTAATATTAAAAAATATGAAATGCTTTATTC